TCCTTCGGATCGATTTAACCAGACCTAGGAGCCAACATTCCAAATATCTGTTTAGTAAGCAAGTCCTGGGGACTTCTGTCTGTGACCGACTTAAGTCTTGGCTTCTGAGTAAACACTTGGTGCCATCTGGATGACTATTTTATAACTCCTGAAAGGGATAGGTTCGCAGGAACGGACGGACGGACTCTTCATTTTCCTCAGGAACTAAAAGCAGCGTATCGAGTGTCGAGAGGAATACTTGTCATATATTTTACAAGAGATGGCTGTGCTACCTTCCCTCACCTGTCACTCTTCTGACACGGCACGCACAGGCTTAAGCTGGGGATACCAGAGCGGGCAAGCTGCAGAGCCAGCTGTGACCCTGCAGAACACAGTCCCCAGCTTCTGCCACTAAATCCCACATCTCGACAGAACCGCGCTACAGAGCAGGACAATCCCTCCTTTTTACTCTCTGAAGGTTCATCAGCTACAGTACAATTCATCAGGGAACTTAAGCTTTGCAAATCCCCCATATTGCTGCATAAAGTGGACATCATAAAGGAGAAAATTTCAAAATATGATCACAGCATTTATTCGTAAGACACTTGAAAAGTACTAAAGAAAAGAGACATCTACTACTCACAGAGCAATTCAGAACATAGCAGAAAAATTAGAGGCAGCACAAAGAAAGGCTGGGAATCAACCATGATTTTGAACTACTCCCATAAAACTACCATCATAACTGAGAAGAAAAAATAAATACATATATCTGGGTTTGGGGAGTATTAACTGATTCATAGAAACACAGGAAAACTTCACCTCCTTAACAAAAGGGGTCAAATATACATGTATGTATGTCAAATTTACAATAAAATGTATTTGCATGAATAATGCCTGAGTCAAACAAATATACTTAGAACTATTGTAATTGCTAATTTCATTAGGGTTTGATGTAAATCCTATAAAATTTATCACATATTTCTTCTTACAGCTTAGTATGATTTGCATTATAATGCTGTTTTTTTTCTCTAATTCTTCATGAATGATTGATGAAATTGTATTAACAAGACTTACGTATGTGCCTTAAATAAATGCACATAGAAACACATGGAATTCTAATCCCATCTCTTTCTGAATTCTCTGCTATTGCTACAAGTGAGAAGTTTCGTTAAATGTTCATCTTGTTAGGATTTCACTGTGAAATTTTCCGTTAACTCACATCAAACAGGAAGATCCAGAGCTCTACTTTATTTTTCAGATGCACTTTCTGAGCTATGAAATTTCAATTTCAAACTCATAAAATAATTTTTGTATCTTAAAAAGCAGTGCTATTGTTTTGCCTGTTTTGCAGTTTGGCATATGCTCATCTACCTAATGGGTTGTTAGATCTGTTGAGTATTTATGAATTCTGCCATACATACTGCCTTGAAGTTTCCCTCATTCCATACTAAAATGGCTATATCTGTCAGCTGAACACTTAAAACTACATTTTTCCCTTCAAGTACTAATCCCTTCATTCTCTTCTCTATTTTCTCATGCTTCTGACTTGTGTGGGATTTTCTACTCATCAGGGCTGTACAAACACTTTTAGATACAGAGTCTAAAAGTCTACATCTTTTAGAATTTTGCAGTTGCCAATAGCACAGACAGGGAAAAAATCCCAGGAATTTCTGCTGCATACTGTTACATACTTGTGTAGATCACCTACAGACAACTCTCCCTGGACCAACCAGTGAAGCAGTCTCAGTCTTCTGCTACCTTCAGACTCCCTGTGCTAAGGATAGAAGCATGGTACAGGTCCGTTTTTCAGACTCTGAACAACACTACTGATGGTCTAGTTTATATTGAAATAAGAATATATTGAAGACCTCATTCAGCTTACTCCACTGATGTATGATTTCCATGGAAACACACAGGAATGAATGGAAAAGCTGCACAGGGCAGTAGAGCTCTGTGTGATGCCATCATTTACCACCTGTCTCTGTATACAATTGCACTGGGGCAGAAGGTCAATGACCCAGGCCCAGTTGTCCAGTTTGAGCAGAACCTGGTCCCTTTTAATATTCCCTTCCTCCTTGCCAAAAGTCATACTTAGGACTTAGTTCTAACAGTGTGTCATCATTTTCACTCCTCTTCCCTCCTTGCCCCCCAGCATAATAATTCATTTATCTTTTAGATAAAAATAAATAATTTTCACATTAAGAAAAAATAAAAATTACTAGAAGCAGAGGGTAAATTTATGGCATTGTGACTTCATCCCAAATTAATGGAACATTTTAGAACTTTAACAGGACTCATAACTGAAACACATCATATTTTGGCTGTAACAGCCAAACAGAATGGTTCTGACATAGTAAGTTCTCATTAAGTAACACAAGAACTGTGATATTATCTGACCTACTATTTATTCACAGCAAGATATGACATCTTCCTTTCACGAATATATACTATAAGAGTCACAGTCACACAGAAGTTGCACAAATAAAACCATTCTGAAAACTGAATTTTCCCCTAGCCACCATCACTCACGTAATTAATCTTCTTTTAGTTCTTGACAAAAAACTAAATGTGCAACTATTTACAGTGGCAGAGAAAGCTTTCCAGCTGGGCTGTATATTCCCACTCTGCTGTAATCTGTCTTCAAACTGCTAAACCCATTCACATTGACTTGTCTACATCAGTTACTAACATCCCTCTGAAGACTGTGTCTACTTTCCTAAAATTTAAATATTTTATTTTAAAAAGTGTAAAGACGACCATCAGTAAATGTACCAACACAGAGACACCTTGTTATGCTGGAATCAATGAACTGCAACATTAGCATTCTGTAATCAAAGAAATGCAATTCTTTGACATCCATTTTATGAAATTGGATCACTTCAGGTACAGAAGGAGTAAATTCAGTCAATCTGAAAGCAGTGTGCCCTGGCAAACAGGAGGGACAAAAGTGTCCTGGGGGGCATCAGGCACAGCATCACCGGCCAGGCAAGGGAGGGGATTGTCCTGCTCTGCTCTGCACTGGGGCAGCCTCACCTTGAATTGTGCAGCTTTGGGCACCACAACACAAGAAAGACATTAGGATCCTCAAGAGTGTCCAAATGAGGGCTACAAGGAGGAGGAAGGGCCTTGCAGGGAAGAGCAGCTGAGGGCACTTGGTCTGTTCAGCCTGGAGGAGGCTGAGGGGAGACCTCACTGCAGTTACAGCTTCCTCATGAGGGGATGAGGAGAGGCAGGCACTGAGCTCTTCTCTCTGGTGACAGTGACAGGACCGAGGGAATGGCCTGAAGTTGTGTCAGAGGACATTCTGTTCAGGTATCAGGAAAAGATTCTTAACCCAGAGAGTGGTTGGGCACTGAACAGGCTCCCCAGGAAAGTGGTCACAGCACCAGCCTGACAGAGTTCAAGAAGCATTTGGACAGTGCTTTCAGGCTTGTGGCATGACTTTTGGGGACTGTCCTGTGCAGGGCAGGGAGCTGGACTTGATGATCCATGTGAGTCCCTTCCAACTCAGCATTTCTCTGATATCATACTACTGACCTCTGAGTCTGATTCTTAGGAAATCTAAGAGTCCACAATTGCAACTTAAGACAATGAACACATTAAAAAAAAGAGACTTAACATACCCAAGTACTTCTGTCAGAACAGACGTACTGATTTTTCAATCATTTACATAAAAATTCTCAAAAAGATTGTTCTATGATCTTAGAGCACACACAAAATAGATATCCTCAGGTTTTTTTGTCCATCTTCAGACATGTCTGATTCCTATTTCTGTGATCCCTTCAAGGCCTGTAAGAATCTATCTAAAGCATGACATACTCCAATGCATCTACTACAGTAAAATCACAGGTTACTAATAATATTTTAATGATATATTAACTCTTCCAACACACAGTTTGTATAATCAAGAACTAAAGGACATAAATGTACCTCTTTAGCAAGACATGAACTGCAGGAAAGATTCGATGGTCTTGGGACAAAACACTAACTTCTTCCCAGGAAATCGAGATACAGGGTACTATAACTCATAATCCAAAAAACAAGTAGTCTAAAGCATGGCAATTTAATTTTGACAGCATAGAATTTATCTTTATCTTATGGGTATCTGTTATATTCTTCAATGTTTGTAAGATCTAATGGAGATCCTTGCTGCTATGGTGTTGGAAATTAAAGGAGGGGAAAGACAATTTATAATCATTTATGCTATTTTATACTATTTATACATTCATTATTTATATTATATATATGAATGACTATGTTCTTTTGAAGTTTATTTAGAATTACATGGCTAATATGAATAGTATAGATGTGGCTCATAACACTGAGTCTGGGAGAAGAGATTCATTTTGTGAAGCTACAGCCTGGGAATTTGGAAGATTTTTTTGGTTTTTTTTAATTTTTATTTTCTCATTTTCCACACTCTTTTGCACCATTTTGAATTGTTTTTGCCCAAATAGACTGTTCTGAACAGTAGGGTTTTTCATCTCAGCTCAAGAGCAAAACCACTAGAATTCAGACAGCATTTATTACATTTATGAAGCACACAATGCATGCCATGGAGAGTTTTGGGGATGATTTTCTTCAGACTTTGTACATTCTTAGGGGGTAGATCATTGCAAGGAAATTAAGAACATTTTCCACCATCCATACAGCAGTATCTAGCCAGAATACAATAACCTGAAAGCATTGATCATTTTTTCAAGCTTTTACTGAAAAATGCTTTTCCCTAAAAATAACAAGAGAAATATTTAGCTTGAACAAGTCTATATTATTTATACACAGAATAAACAAGATAATATCCTTGTTAGCATTTCTGAGGAAACAAGATGTTTTAAACCTGCTTATTTTTTTATGTTTACAGAATTCCCTACACAAGTCATATAGAAAATGCAGAGGCACTCCGAAGAAAGGGACTTGACTTTCAGGTTTATTAGTGGGAGTATTCACATTGCAAATAAGTGAAAAACATGCAGTGTTTCTTAGGGATTTTGTTTTGGCTGTTTTTCTTTATGTGTACTCACACTCAAGGCAGCTGGTCCTGGAGGTCCTGCATCTCCCTAGTTAAAACAGGAGAGGAAGTAAATCAACAATCTCTTTAGTTATGCATATTTAACTTCTAGACCTTTTAGAGAATATGCAGCATTGCAGAAGTGATTTTAGTACCATCATCAAGCATGTTGATTATGAAAATATGTGAGTAAAGTGACATTCTTCTCCAGTAATGACATAAATATACACAGTTCACCACAGGTTAAAAGGAAAAATAAAAAATCCAGGCCTCTGCATAAATGAATCACAGCTTAAAAAAAGCAATCCTTCAAAGCACATTTCCATATGTCAAGTTACAAACTTCAGCTTACATGCACAAGGTGGCTGCTGAAGCCAGTGTGACAGCTCACATATGTAAAGACATATGACTGTGTAAATATTCACAGAATTAGGTCACTGAGGTACAAATCACATCTGAGTTCTTCAGGTTTAGTTCATGGGAGAAAATTAGTGCACCCAGAGAGCAATTCAGAACACCAAATTTAGGTTCCTGCTTAGAATTCCTTTTAAAATTCATTGTGATAAAGCGTACTTGTCTTTTGCATTTACATTTAGCCTGTATTCATATCCTTTAACCCTTAAGTTGCACAAATTGCAGCAGTGGGTGTTTGCCACACACACATAGTTATGACAATGCATTCAAAACTGAAGAATATCATGCACACTCACATATACATACAACTGAATAAAAAGGTACCTTTTCTCCTTTTGGACCAGCCACACCAGGACTACCAGGGTCACCTTTTAGTCCCTGGGCAAAAAGAGAAATGTGTATTTGTTGTCATCTGTCAAAAATGCTGGGAATAAAAAATCCTGTAGCACTGTGAATTAATATACACTAAACAAACAGGCCTTAAAATTCTACCACATTATTAGTACTATCCCTAAATTCTTTATTGTCATTATTTTGTGAACAGACAAACATCTATCAAAGACCACATGTGTCTTCAACACATAATTAAACATACAAAGCCAATCTACTTTATTGTGCTCCATTATGGTAAGTAGTGAGTAGAAATACAAAGTTCCTTTGCAGTCTTGCATGGCCAACAAAGATAAAACAGAACATTAGAGAGAGTGCTAGAACATTCTTGAATGCTGCTAAATTTGGGAAAGAGGCAAAGGTGAACAGGGAACTGCAGATTTTATGTTTCAAGTAGCAGTGCTGGACTGGTGAATTCCAGGAAGGTACAGCTCAGAGCTGTTGCACATCTTCCAATGCTCTCATTTTCACTGATGTCCACAAAGGCAATCAGAGAAAGAATTGATTCCTTCATACCTTCTTCTTTAGTTCTGCCTTCAACAGGGGGAGCAAATAGTGCTGCCTAGCCTTACACTTTACATACACAGACATTCCACACGTGCAGGATCAGAGTGGTTTGGGCTGGAAGTGACTTCATCTGATTCAGCCTCCCCTGCAGCAAACAGGGACATTTCCAACTGGATCACTTTATCCAACCCATTCATTAAAGCTTCCAGGAATGGGGCATCTACAGCCTCTCTGAGAAACCTTTTCTAGTGTTCACTAGTCTGAATCTACCCTCTACAATATCTCTCATACAACTCTTCCATTAGGAAGTTCTCACCAGAAGCAACCAAAAAAACCCATAAAATATCTTTAGTACCCAGCACATAATCTTTGCTGTCTTTTCCTTGCTGCAAAACAAACGGAAAAATGAGAGGTTTCAAAATAAGCCCAGCAAATTCAAGCCGTTCTACAGCACTGAATGAACTTAATTCTCATGGTGGACCAACCTACCAGGAATTCATTTTTATTTAAGCTGAGGGATTTGTCTTGTGCCTTCCCTCTGACCACTGCCTTAGTGTCATGAGAGACTGTGTATTGAAAGTCAGAGACACATCTACAAGCTCAAAGATTTTACTTAGAAATGAAATGGCAACAATGTAGGCAATACAAGACCGCATCATAATGAGATGCTCCACAAGTAGGCCACCATCGTTATTATTCTGGAGGTTAAATAGGTCAAGGATAGAAAAGATTCATTTACATCTGAATTAGGGTTTACAAACTAAAGTTCTTCCCAGCTCCCTTTTTGTCCTTGCAAACTCTCTTCCTCGGTTTGCAATTATTAGGAAGATAGATACAACTGGCACGAAAATGGTAACTAACATCTGTGCCTTAGTGGGTACAGAAACATGAAATCAGTGAGTGTTCTAAATACTGTGTATTTGTGCAACTTCACTTCCTGCTAAAATTACATTAATTCACCATCTGGAAGGAACATCATTTAGAACTATATGAGCATTTAAGTACCCACTTTGGATTAAATTTGTGGTTGTTGTAAATACCCCTGATTTAGCTTTGATTTGTTCTTTATTAAGCTTGCCAAATATGTAATAGTTAAATCAGAAGTAGTTTTGCTGTTTGAACTTAAAAAATGTAATAGGCAGATGGATTCAAAAACCAAGCCAAAAAATTGCTTTCTTTTTACAATCTGCATATTTATGACATAGCTTTAATATTGTCTCCATTTGCTACATTTTACTTTCAGCCTCCTTCTGAAAGATTGCATAAAACACAACCAATCCATACTCTTAAAGCCATTTCAGGGATTTTTCAGGTATGCAAACTGTATGGATTTGGTTCAAAATCAATACTAGCAAATCAGCAGTGGAACAATAGTTATGAGTTTAGGAATTAGCTCTAAGGCTGTATGTTTACAGAAGACAAAAGACAAAGCTAAAAAAAATCTGCAACTCACAGATGGTGACATATATCTGTGTGTCTCTACTGAATAAAAAATGCAACTGCGGATGCAAGATACTGAGCCTGAGCCATGCACTTTAAAACTATCAACCTTTTTTTCCCCTAATTGCTGTGTTTAAAGCTTTTAGTAGTGTTTCTGCAAGAGCACCTCAGCGAGGTGTGCAGTCTGGCAGCTACTGCAGAGATGATTACCACAGCAATTGACCTCAAATAAAAAGGACAAGGGTAAACTACACATTTTACAAGAAACTTTACAGTGTTTGAAGGATTTTTAAGAACCCAATGTTATAGACCAATTAGAAGTATTTCTGGTTTGCCTACATGTTATATATGTATTTAAAAATATTATAAGCTTTGTAAGTTTCAGACGTAGCAAATGATTGCAAAAAATACATCTGGGAATGCACCATGCTTATTCTTTCCTACAGTCACACTTTTGAAGCTGCTGAGAGGTTTAGCTGCTGGCTCACTGTCTCTGAAATGCCGTAAGAAGTAAGAATTCCTGTGCCAAGTCAAATCTGTAGCCCCTTTTAGCACAGTACAGTAGGGTACCCTGTCTCTGGCAGAGACCAGAACAGGATGCTTCAGTAAAATGAATGTGGTTATCTAAACAGATCTAATTTGGATGATTTTAGACCAAGCCTTAAGTTAGAAAAACACATTTTCTGCACTGTTTTAGGAGAACAAGGTCAGCTTTGAAAACAAACAAATTTCTATTGATCTAAGGAGTCTGTTACCAGATTTGCCAGAAATTCAAGAACAGATTAAAAATTCCAGCAGCTCTTATAACAGAGGGTAAATTAATTGGGTATTGAATTCTATCCCAGTCTAACTCTAGCTTTTTGGGACCAAGATAATAATATACATTTATGAGTTCATGAACAGTCTTCAGCTGAAGCATTTTCTCCCCTAAAAGGACTACGGCCTGGTCTTTTTACAGGTCATGATAAACTCACATTGTGGTTCCTTTATGGAAACCAAAATGTAAAGTAAGCATTAGAATATGTTTGTACAAGGCCAATTCGAAGCTACCAAGATAACAATACTGGAAATATCAGAAATGAGAAATGTTCTATATACATAAATAAAATAAGACAGATAATCGTAGTACAATTTTCAGTCAACAGAGAAATTAATGGAACAAGTATATCACAAACATCAGTAAGGGTGTGAATTGGGATCAATCAGGGAAAGATTGAATTAGAGGCAGTATTTTTGTTTGGAAGGAATGACAATGCTATTTCTTCTGGTGGAATGAATAAAAAACTGATAAAACAGGTAAAATGTATCACCACCTGACATCAGGAACTCCTCTCAATGGAAAATTGCAAAGATCAGCTGGACCCCAACCAGAAGACTCCAGCAGCTCCTGCAGGAGCCAAATGTTGACTACTGGAATTGCACCTATTTGTACAGCATGAACTATGCTGCACACATGTTGCAATGGAAAATGCAGTCAGACTTCAATAACATTTTCAGGAGAGCAGGTTTTCAACTCTAAAAGGTATCTTTTGGGGAAAATGTAATTTATTATTTGCAGTTCCATGGCCTTCATTAGAGTAAGCCCATTCAATGTCACATCAGGTTGAAATCACCTAGCACAGTACATATTACCTGATGTACTGGAAATACACTACACAACCCAGCACTCTAACCAACAATGTGGAACCACATTATTATAGATCAGATCACTTATCCCTACCAAGTAACAGAGCTTGGAAATATTCTAACCACTAAAAACAGCACTACATTTTCTTCACAGAGCAACCTTAAAATGTAAGTTAACAGCTTCAAAGTCAGCTGTAAAACCTGGATAAGCTGGGATAACTTTTCTAATTTAGCAAAGTGTTTTCATAGCTTCAAACAATATACTTTTCCCAGTTTATGTCTCAGGTACTTTTAAATAATGCCTTTTCTCTTTAATAGAATTCAAAAACTTCAAACTGGTATATTACTACAGTTTACTGACTCTAAATTAAATCTACTATCTCCTAATGCTTTTGTTCTTAACAGAATTCTCAGACTCTAGATATAAACAAACATCATCACCAACTTCACTTTTTCAAGCAATAGGATTATTCTCTTCCTATTGAAGTATTTCCTTGCAATGCTAGTACTAAGAGAGTTCAAGATTAGAGACAAGCCCTGAGGGTGTGAAGGTAAACAACCATTGCTATTATATCAAGATGTAGGATCCCTTTAATAATGATCATACTTTTAATTACCTTTTCCCACAAGCATCAAAATGAAAAGGTCTAATATGTTCTCCATCTTTCCATTGAAAACCTGGGATTCTTTTATTGTTTACTGAACTTAGAGGTCCAACCTTTGACATCAGGTATGTAAAGAATAAAATTGAATGTAGAAAAGTTTTAGAAAAGTTACTTATGGTATTACTTCCCCCAGCAAGTGAAATAAAAATAACTAATTAAACACTTGGTTTAATATATACACTAGATTTTAATTTCAGAATTGTTTTACTATTTTTTTCCCACTTATAAGAAACACACTATTCCTCTACCAGCTATGCATGACACATGCTGACAGATATGATAAAATTTGCTATTTTGACTTACTATTGCTGAAGGATTTTATTTATGTCAGAAAATAGTAATTGGCAGTATCCCATGGCATTCATTCCTACCTGCACCAGTGATCAAGAAAACAGCATGACTCAAAAAGAGTTCTATAAGTTCGGGTGATGAAGATTTTCTTTTCACTTCAGATTAACAGGCAGATATATGGATATAACAGAGAACATATTCTGCAAATAGTTTTATGGGTATTTATATTGTATTTTTTTCCATATTCCACACAGGCTATGAGTGTTTTTATCAGGCTTTTTTTTTTTCAAGATAGTGTGTCCATGAAGCTCCATTTGTAACAGTGATACAAATGACAGCATTATTTCAGAATCATGGAATCATTAAGGTTGGAAAAGACTTCCAAGATCATTAAGTCCAGCCTTTCACTGATAACCACCTTGTCAACTAGACCAGACAATTCATAACTCCTCAATTACAAAAGCAGACAGGTCTCTCACCCACCTGTAAAACAAAATATCCAAAAGAATGGTGAAAGGAAACAACATCTTAAAAAAATTACAGGATTTTAGAGACAGCAATGTGGCACCTGAGTTTAATGTCAAGTGGCTAAAAGAGTCTCAAGGGATGAAAGAGATACTATTCAAGCAAACTGGCAGTTCATCCTAGAAAAACAAATACCTGCTTAGAGACATGGACATGTACTACAGGAGGACTATGTTAGTAATATACTAAGTTATTTATAACTACTCCTTAAGAAACTAAAAACAATGGCAACCACATTAGTAGCATTTATAGAAAGTATTCATGTTGTCAAATGGATTTTGAATAATGTCCCAATCTGGGACACAGCATTGTAGATCTTGGCTCAGATTACTGGAGACATAAACTAGGAGATGTGCAGAACAGTGAGATATATTCACAGCTCCCGCCTCAAAACCTGGTTCTCAATGAGATTAACTGAGCCAGTTAGCACAGCCAGTGAGAGAAGAGGGAATTGAGACTTTCTAGGTATATCATCACTACAGCCTCGTCTCCAAACCAGGTCTGGTTTCCCCTCTGTTATGCTACTTCTTTCTAACAAGAACTTTCTGTACAGCTAAGAAAACACAAGTTAGCAACAGCATGCAAAAGTTTTCTGTGACACCTACTTTTCTGATTTTGATTAAAATACATTCAAATATGTTTCTACCATTTGTTCAAGATAAAATGTTCAGTCATCATCTTCAAGTTCTTGTGAGGATGGAAACCCTCACTCCCCCAGGCAGAGACAACACCTGCCAGAAGGCAATGCCACTAGCTTTAAGTGTTTTCAGGCTCTTTTGAATATATACAGCACTGCAGATTACACCAGTGTAAGGAGATTAACTTGATTATTGCAGAAATATCAGAGATTATTGCAGAACAAGTTAGAGAGACACTGATAGAAGCCAAGAGTCAATGATACACAGTCCTGTAAATGACTGGTATCTCCATGGAGAGTGATAACTGAGTTCAAAGCATTTTATGTAAATGTTGTTAAAAAGGAATTAAGTGTGGATTCAAACAATACAATGTTATACTGCCATGTGCAGTTTTACTTCTGTTTTAATGTTTTAATGGAAGTTCCCATAATAATAGTAAGAACCTACCATTTACTGACACATTGCAACAGTTCAGTAAATATTTTAAAATATAAATGTTCAGTATTTTTCACATTCACAGTGCCACTATGTTAAATATGTCCTAGACTTAATCAGATACTTGGTATACCTTACTCCTCCTAAAAGGTTGATGGAACAAGATCTCATGTAGTAAAGAAGATCATGTAAGACCAACACAGAAATGTCACCAGAGCTATGGAAAGAACCACAGACGTGTCTTTTCCATGCTGTCAGCATATATGTATGCATGAGAGAAGTATACTGTTCACCTTTACAGACAGACAGGCTACAAGAGAATACTTCTTCAAATACCTAAATTTAGTTTCAGCTTAGTACATTTTCTCTTAGTACATGTTCTCGCATGGACATTCACTATTACTTAAAAATGGTCTGATTTACCCAGCATTAAATTGTAATTACCTGAACCAGGAAAAATATATTTATGGTTACAGTGTGCATAGAAAGCCAGGTGATGTAAAAAGTGTCATAATTTTGTAGCCTATCTTATAGCATTTTCAGTAGCCCCAGCTAGACTCCCATAGTATTTTTGTGTTAAATGCCAACCCTTTTATTCTTTCAGAGCAGGTGCTTAAAAAAATATTGCTGAATATTTTTTCCAAGCCCTGTATCTGGATTCTAGTCCTAATGTCAATCATTCCCCATCTGGAAGATGCTCTCTGCCTTTAACAGCAATGCTTTGCAACTGCAGAGCCAGGAGTGTCCAGGATTAAAACCTAAAGACAGGGTAACCCCCACCAAGGTTAAGAAGGACGGGAGGAGGGTATACAGCAAACATCTTGCTTGACTTTATTATGGTTTTTTAAATCTTGATTTTTGAAAACATGCTGGTTGTCTATTTTAGTATTTCATTGAAAAAAAACCACCTGACTTTTTCCCCTCTCATCTTGGTTTCACATATAAAAAAATAAATAAAAATTTAAAAATAGGCAAAAGTATGGTTTACTTTATAGTCATGCCTATAGTGTAGGCTCAGGTTCAAACTTCAATGTGAACTCAGTCATTAGGAATATCCAGTATTTTTAGATACAGATTTATGCTACCTTAAATATGGTCCCATCCAATTAACTAAGTAGGCAGTGAAATCTGGCAGTGAAAAAAAACAAAAAGGTTAAGTTTTGATTCTCTCACAAGAGACACATGGCACAGTGAGTGACACACCCAAAAATGGCTAACAGCTTGTGTATTTTCTCTTTCAGAAACCAAAGCTACCAAACCATAGCTTTACCCTGCCTCCAAAATTAACTTATTCTCCAGCAGATTATCTAACAAGGAATGATTCTCGTCTATATTATGTTTAATCCCTATTCTTGTTTCAGTTTATCTCATGAGTCATGAGCAGAAGCATCGCGGAACATACCAAATCCTTATCCACAGCCCTCCTTACATGAAGCTCTAAGAACTCCTGAGTCACATGAATGCACCTCTTCCTCCCTTATAGTCTTGGGGATGTAAAATCTCCAAGCATACACAGTTTCCAAATCCATCACTCTTCTTAAATAAAGTCTGAATTACATTTCTTAAACATCCACTCAGAAAGTGTAACTTGACTGTTTCATTATTGTTCTGTTTACCTCTGTTCCAGGAAGGCCTTCTGGTCCTGGTTCTCCTTTATCTCCTTTTTCACCCTAAAATAAATAATATTTATTTTATTATATATACTCATGGCAAACCCTAACCCATGATGCCTTTTAACAGGAAAAATATTTTACCATTCTGGTCTGTTCTACATGTACATTGGATGCACAAGCAGAACTATTTCTTACATTCCAACAGAAATTCTTTCTGAATAAATGTCCCTGAAAAATGGCTAGCACTCTGATAGGTACAGTTCTCTGTACTTCATAGGGTCATTGAACATCCATAAAGACTCATCACAGAACAGCATTCTTGTTTCTTGCTGTGTTTCCATGGTGGTGAAACAGAAATTTACACCACGGAACAGTTCAGTTTTTGAAAATCCTAATTTTAATATTACAATAATTTTTTTTTCATTTTGTGATTCAGTTTTGTTATGAGATGCTTAAAGTAAATGTTTGTTTACAAAGTCCTCAGTATTATCATTTGTCTTTGACCCATACTGGTATATGGTTCACTATTTGCATTTGAAAAATGGAAACAACTTTTGTTCTGAAAGTTTTCTTAGAAGTATGAACAACATTATTAATCGAAAGAAAAAAATGATGGGAAGGTTCCTTCAGAATTGACTATAGCTGGTTTCTACACTGACTAGAAAACACAACAATCTTTGTAGAATACATGAAAGAATTCAGTTCCATATTAACTCTAACCACCATGCTATTCCAATTAAGACATATTTCATCAAAGTGAATAAAATACATTTGCTAAAGAAGCATAATTTAAGAGAAAATACCTTCCGGAAGCAACAAGTCTAAAGGGCTATATAATTGCATCTCTGTCCCTCTAATCAAGTTTCTCAAATCAAAATAAGTAATCATAAAGTAGCATAACTCTGATGGAAGTGTGAGGACTGACTTAATTAGAGTCCAAGCTGTTCATATAAACTGAAGAAAACAAAGAGCTCTTCACCAAATTTCCATTATCTCTGGGGGACTACATTTGTCTGAGTATAACCTATTCATTATATCAGCATCCTCTTCATAATTCTGTTAGGTAAATGGCATTGAGCTGAGCTCATTCAACTAACTCCATTTGTGACACAACCCTGATTCAGAGCTATTTCTCCCTTGGCAATGACAGAGGGCATTTCATATAATAATCAGTTTTGCAAAATGAGTTTGTATGAGCTTTGTCAAAAAACTGAAGTCTTCTAAAAAATTAGCAGCAGCAAACTGTGAATTTAATAATCCCACTCCCACGATGGCATTACTGCTTCATTTTTTCCATTTTAATACATCTTGTTGATAAGAAACTTAATGCTACACATTAGCTTGAATCATACAGTTAAGGTTTTCCCTCAAGTATTCCCTTTTTCACTGGTTAAAAAAAAATTAAAAACCTCCACCAGATAAATCTGTGCATTTACTGCAAAGTTCAAATTACACCAAACAGTTATAGGAATTTAACACTTACTATTTTACTATGTTTAAACTATAGAGTCCTCTTTGTTCTGTGGATATAAGATATTGGTTGAGATAGTAATTTTCTTTCACTGTCAGTTTTAAAAAAAACCCAGTTGAAATCCCAGGCGTACTGTTCTTTTTAAACAGCTCACTTAAACTTTCAGAACTGAAAAAATGACATTTTACTTTTCATCACTGTGACATACTGAACATTTAATACTGCTTTCAGGATATTTCAACTAGTACCAGTTACACTGCTACAATCTTGCAATAGTTATAAAAGTACATTAATGTATTTGACATAGTATCTCCTTATCTGAATATATTTCCAGAAGATTTACAAATCATTCCAATTTGTGGAGCTGATTTTTCTTCTATGACTTGTGTATCTGCTTTCACACTTAAAGAAAAATGATTCAAATATGTACAGAATTGCTTCAGAAGTAACAGCATCCTGTAAATGCCTTGATGTATAGGTGGAAACCTAAGGTAAAAGTCTCCTGTCGTAATTCGTTATGCAACATCTACATCGCCATAAAAAGCCAAACAGAGATGGCCTAACTAAAAGATGTCTGTTCCCTCACCCTCACTTATCATTTGCCTCGCTGTGAGATGAGCAGTACGTGCTGGTGAACGTGCCTTTTCCTCTGCAGCAGGCAGACGCTAACTTCAAAATGCCGCCAGGCAGCTCCAGACACATACAAGTGTGGTTGGTGAATGCAGGGAGGAAAGAAACCCCCCACTCCTTATGATTTACACAATATTTGGATTTAAGATGCTTCTCAGTTTCCTTGACAAAATGATGAAAAGCACCCCCTGTTAATGAGCCTTGGACCTCTGCAGAGCCCCTGGCCTTCAGCCAGGTGTGCGACTTTACTATGAACATATTCCGATTTTTTAATGGAGTACACAATTTGTACCTGTCAAGCCCGTCATATGGAAAGTCCACGTTCTGTGTGAAGCCAAATTTCAAACCAAACAGAGGTCCAATTTTTTACAATTTATTCTCACAAGAACTGAGCCAAGTCATGCTCATTTCTGTCTTTATGAGGCACACTATACCACATAATTAACAGCTTCAAACCTAGCCAATTTGCAGAGTCGTTGAAGCCACTCTGCAGTGTAGAGGAGGCTGTTAATAATCAACATTGTGGCTTTGTACTTTATAGATTACCAAAAAGAGAGAAAAACGTGTTAATGTTGCTTTATTTGAAGTGCTCCTGCCTATTACATTCAGATGAAACAATTAAAGACTATTTATTGCAAAAACAGGATGACCAAACTCTGAAAGCATCAAGCTTGTTTTATTAGTTAACTAAAACTAACCTCATGCAACACTGAATTATTTGTATTTCTTCGGGTCAGTTCTGCACTCCATTACCCTGATGGAACAAGCTGATGGGGTTGCTCCAGAATAACTGCTGGGAGGGATTCAGTCTGCTGTTTGTAATAGTGGATGCACTGAATTCAGTGATAGCATTCTTTAATTAGGGCCAGGGGTACATCCAGAGCCTCTGCAAGATGAGAGTACCAGCCCCCAACTCACTTGTCCGCTTTAAGATTGCCTCGTTTTCCTTGCACACTATTTCCCCCACGTTAGAATGGCAAAACAATATATTTGGAAATACAATACATTAAAACCTAAAAACTGAACTAAAAATATGAAGATTTTTCTTTAATACTTCCCTGTTAATGATAAAAATCTGGAATTCCTGGTATCATTTTTTGGAAGAATTTGAAAGTGCCATCGTTAACACTTGCTGAATTACTCTCCAAAGTACAAAAGCTATATGATATCAGTAAGTCAGAGTGGGCACCTTATAACTTTTAACCTCTTAAACTCCATGATTTTACCTATATATCTTTAAGACAGTTATGACTTGCTATTTTTTTAATACTTTTTCCTGCTATGTTACAGCTCTGTCTCAGCAGAATGCTCTACATGAATTTTATTTTCTTGTGACCACTTCTCCATAGCTTCTTTTAAACTGATCTCAGCTCACAATAATGCTTATTGATTTTTCTGGAGTAAATTATGAATGAAAAAAATCTGCATCTTCAGATAAAAAAAGCCAACCTTGTTTCTTTCTGATTTTCTGATAGATGTCTGAAGGGCTGGGGTTATGAAGAGGTCACCCTAATAATATTCTTACTGCCCAACTTGTAAATCTTCCACAGAATATGGGATAGCATGCTTTAGGAAAATGCCAATACACAAGCACCTCAGGACTGCTGAGATACCGTACCATATAAAAGGAGTGGAAATCAAGACAAACTAATGATTTTGACTCAGTTCAGACTGGGAGGCACTATGCAAGGAAACATAAGAGTGGCACATGAAGCTCATTTCCAAACAGATTATAACCCCATAGCACATAAGAGTATTTCCTAAGCAGAGTCAGAAAGAGACTGCATAATGCATTGCAGAAACACACCTCTGTTACAGATAACAAAAGTCAACAGAGATGATCAGGAAGGATATCACCTCAAATCCTGTGTCTTCCCAAGCCTATATATTTAGGATGCTCAGACAAAGCTTTATAGAGATCAGACAGTTGAGTGGATACACTTATCAAGAAACAATGACCAAAAACCTGCTGATTCCAAACTGTGCCATTGCTGTCTTGTGAAGAAGTCCTGAACAAGTGTTGCTCCTGACCATACTGGATATTATGTCAGGAGAAAGATCTTTCCCTCCTGCATTTTTTTTACACAGACTGAGCAGTTCTGAAAATATTCACAATGGCTAATTGCTGCTGGGTGTCACGTGTCACATTCCTAAGCAAGCATTCCTAAGCATTTCTAACCAGAGAGGCCATATAAAGGCAAATTACCACCTCAATTAAAGGAAAACCTTAGGCACAGAACAAACAATCTAGGAGCCCAAGGCTCCAAAGCTGCATCAATGAACTGCCTCATTCTGTCAGCAGGAATAAGGCAGCCATCCATTTTTACTCTTTGCAGAAAAACCTTAAAATGCAAAATTATTTGGATCAATTAGAACAGCAACCAAAAAAAAAAACCAACCAAAAAACCCCAAACTCAAACCCCAAGTCCAATAAAACTTTCAGTGTAGTGCTCTCCAAATGGAGAAATCTAATGCACAAACAACAGGAATAACTCTGTAGCACTACAGCAAAAAAGTATCTGGGTATTGTCATGGATCATAGTGCACAGGAATCTGTAACACAAAGACGTTTTAAAAAGGCTAAACTTCATTCTCCATTTGTCAAATGCAAGCTGAAAAAAACCCAGTTATTCTAGATTACTTGCCACTGATGAGAACAGCGAAAAATAACAGCCCATTCAGGGCATCATACTTTTCTGCTCTTCTCCAAACTAGAATGATAGAAAGTGTGGAAAAAAAGTTAGGATGAAAGAATGAACATAGGAAGTGGTGATGAATCTCAAATATGGGGAAAAATGCTATAAATGGGACATCAAGGTTTCCATACTGATAATACAAAAAATGGATTTCATTTGCAGCCAAATGGGGCGTGGAGGGTGGAATTTGTGTTAAAAAGGCAGAGAAATACTGTCATGATCTAAGATTAGAACAAATTTGCCTTAACTGTAAATTTTGC